GATAATCTTTTTAATGTACTATTGGATCCTATTAGCTAGGATCTTGTTGAGAATCTTGGCATCCATATTCATCAGGGATATGGGTCTGAAATTCTCCTTTTTGGTGGGGTCTTTGCCTGGTTTGGGGATCAGGTTAATGCTGGCTTGATAGAAAGAGTCTGGAAGTTTTCCTTCTGCTTCAATTTTTTTGAAACAGCTTCAAGGAGAAAAAGTATTATTTCTTCTTTGAACATTTGGTAGAATTCTCTAGGGAATCTGTCAGGTCCTGGGCTCTTGTTTTTTGGGAGGCTTTTGATGACTACTTTTATCTCGTTACTAGATATTTGTCCATTCAGGTTGTCAGTTTCTTCCTGATTCAATTTTGGAAGTTTATCGGTTTCCAGAAATGCATCCATTTCTTCGAGGTTGCTTAACTTATTGACATATAACTGTTGATAATAATTTCTGATGATTGTTTCTGTTTCCTTGACGTTAGTCGTGATCTCTCCCTTTTCATTCATAATTTTATTAATTTGGGTCCTCTCTCTTTTCTTTTGGATTAGTTTGGCCAGTGGTTTATCAATCTGATTGATTCTTTCAAAAACCAACTTCTAGTTTCATTGATGTGTTCTACTATATCTCTAGTTTCTAACTCATTGATCTCTGCTCTAATCTTGATTATTTCCCTTCTTGTGTGTGGGGTTGGCTTAATTTGTTACTGACTTTCCAGTTCTTTAAGGTGTAAAGAGAGCTGGTGTATTCTGGACTTTTCAGTTTTTTTGAGGGAAGCTTGGATGGCTATGTATTTTTCCCTTAGGACCGCCTTTGTCATATCCCATAGGTTTTCGACTGATTTGTCTTCATTCTCATTCATTTCCATGAATTGTTTAAGTTCTCTTTTGATTTCTTGGTTGATCCAAACATTCTTAAGTGGGGTGGTCTTTAGCTTCCAAGTGTTTGAATTCCTTCCAAACTTTTTCTTGTGGCTGAGTTCCAGTTTCAAAGCATTGTGGTCTGAGAATATGCAGGGAATAATCTCAATCTTTTGGTATCGGAGCCGTGATTTGTGACCCAGTATGTGGTCTATTCTGGAGAAAGTTCCATGTACGCTCGAGAAGAATGAGTATTCTGTTGTTTTAGGATGGAATGTTCTGTATATATAGATAAGGTCCATCTGGTCCAATGTGTCATTCAATGTTCTGTTTTAATTGATTTTCTGCTTGGATGATCTATTACCGAGATCCCCTACTATTAATGTATTCATATCAATATGACTCCTTATCTTGATTAACAGTTGGCTTATGCAGTTGGCTGCTCCCATATTGGGAGCATAAATATTTATAATTGTTAGATCTTCTTGGTGGATAGACTATTTAAGAATGATGTAGTGTCCTTCCTATTTCTGACTATAGTCTTTAGTTTGAAATTTATCTGATATGAGAATCCCTACCCCAGCTTTCTTTTGAGGCCTGTTGGCATGAAAGATACTTCTCTGTCCCTTCACTTTCAGTCTAAATGTATCTTTAGGTTCCAAATGGTTCTCCTGTAGACAGCATATGGATGGGTCCTGTCTTTTCATTCAATATGCAATCCTGTATCATTTTATGGGCGCATTTAGGCCATTCACATTGAGAGTGACTATTGGAAAATATGTTTTTATTGACATCATGTTGCCTGTGAAGTCCTTGTTTCTATAGTTTGTCTCCATAAATTTCTGTTCTATGTCACTCTTGTGTTCTTTCTTCTTTTATAAACTACCCCCCCTTAATATTTCTTGTAGTGACAGCTTGGTGGTCACATTCTCTTTTAAACCTGGCTGGTCTTGGAAGCTCTTTATCTCTCCATCCATTTTGAGTGTCAGCCTTGCAGGATAGAGTATTCTAGGCTGCATGTTCTTCTCATTTAGTGTCCTGAATATGTTTTGCCGCCCTTTCTGTCTTGCCAGGTTTCTGTGGACAGTAAATAACTGTTACTTTGAATGCTTGGTTTCTTAGTTGTTTTTTTTTATGTTTTGTGTGTGTGTGTGTGTGTGTGTGTGTGTATATGTGTGTGCTTTTAATAACTAAACAACACTACAAAAATGCAAGTTAATTTTGTTATTTGATACCATATTACAGTTAGAACCTGGCTAAGTTTTAAATCTTGGAGGAAATAAAAATCAGGTAGTTTTTTACCTTTTCAAAGTAGCCAATAATTTGTAAAATGTGTTGTTGGTAATTTAGGTAATAAAGCCTGACAGCCCAAGTTATTATTCTTCAAAAACTTTAGGAAGTTTGTAGTAGCAAGGAAAATTTCTCCAATACAGGCACATAAAGAAATGTAGAATTCAAAAATTGGTTACTTTTCTGCCTAAAGAGATTGTTTTATAACTAGACGAGTATGATATTTATGACAGTTATTATTACAAAAGACCTTCAATTTAGCTTCATAATACTGAATACTGTTTCAGTGGTTTAATGGTATGATTTGGATCAGATAAACATTGAGTACTTAACTAAAACTTTCCTTTTTTTTTTTGACTGGTTACATGACAGAGGTGTTTGTCTCCATCTACTTAGAAACTTAAGCTTCTCTTAGGAAATGGAAACTGTCATCCAATATTGAAATTGCTATAGATTTGACAGTTTCAGATTTTCAAGCAACAGCCAATTATTTGATAAGAAATTTCCATTCACAAAATACCAAAGGTGGACTAAAATAATTTATGGGAAAATAGCATAATGTCATCCAACTGACCTTTGTATATGACTTTAAAGTCATTATCTTAACAAGTGAAAAAACCATCAATATATATCAAACTAATAAGAAAACTAAGCACTTTTAAATGTTTCAACTAAACATTTTAAATAAGAAGTAACCCCATTTCCTAAAGAAAACTCTACTCTTGTAGCCATTTCCTTGGAGATGGCAGATGTGTTAGTTGGGAACTACCATCTGTCACCCCAAGTGGCTTACCAAAGAGTGGGGAGCCTGAAGAAAATGATGGAAGGGCTTCCCTCTCATTCTTATTCCCTCACAATATTACCCAAATGAAATCAGGTTAAAATTGCTATTAGGTCAATGGCAAGACAATATAATAAAATTCAGGCTGCATGGTTCCCTAGGATTAGGACAGGAAATCCACAAATGTCTTCCTGGTTGAAGTTCGAGGAGTTAGGTTTATTAGGCTATTTGTGTTTTAAATGCCTGTAAATGTCTTTTTAAAGTACATACCTTCTAATTGTCTTTCTGAATCACTGCCTTACAACCAGTGATAGCTTAATGGAACTCTCAGAAAGTATGAGACTCAAGGATATTCCAATTTTCCAAACTCCTAGAAAAATTAGTATTTATTATACTGGCTTGTGTGCTGAGGGTAAGAGCTGGGACCCTGTCTATTGATAGGGACAGAAAAAAGATAAAGTCCAGAAGAATCACATCAGCTCTATAAGGGCAGCAGAAACTAACCAATGTGGTAACCACCTGATTTTGAGTCAAAGCTGACATCAAGGATTGGTCTGATATAATTAACAGTTAGATGCCAAATGCAGTTTTTTATTTCCATTCAAGTGTTTTTAGTTCTGTTAATACAAGCTTGTTGAGATATATAAATATTACTTCTTCCTAACATTTTCTTAGTACTAGAAAACACTCCTGGAGGATTACAGTACTTAATGACCAGTGTATACTGGAACATTAATTGGTCCTGGGCTTACTCCCAGGAGTTTAAGTTGCTATTGGGTCCTGCATTTTTACTGTCCTTCTTAGGTTCTCCTGTTTATACTAAGTCCTCCTTTAATTTGTTCTACTCCCAAAAGTTGGCTTTATCCTATCCCTACTTTTCAATAGTAGATCAGCTTATATAAGAATTATAGATTCTTATACAAGAATTATATATATTTTCCTTGGCAGGAAAATAATTTCTAAAGATTCAAAGGAAGGATGACTTAAATTTCAGAGAATATTCTAGATTGCTTTACATGAATTCCTGTCAACTTGAGACAATGCATCTCTTACAAGTCATTCTTTTTTTTTTGACAACTAGTTTGCAAAAAACACACTTAATGAACAGAATACGTTTCTAAAGTGCTAGTAGAGTTTCAGTTGATCCTGAACTTTAATTACAAAAAATATTCTGTCAGTTAATAGATTGATGTATTTGTTTATGTTTATGCATAGTATAGGTTTTTTTTGTAATCGTTAACATTATTTTAAGAACTTAAACCAAGTAAAAAGAATAGGTGCCTTTTAAAGTTTGCATTGGAAAAGTAAGCTTCAGATACGTTATCTTGATTTCATTGTTTTTTCTTTTGACCCTAAATTTGCTCAAAAGTTTAACTTCATACTATAAATATTTGAATTCTTAAAGAAAAATGAAAACAAAATGAGAAACACTGCATCTTGAATTCTGAACTGGAAATTGGCATTGAGGAAGAAAAGTCAGTCCTATCACCTCAGAGAAACATTGGAGTACTTGGATAATTTATTTTTCCTATTCTTTTAATTTCATAGTTAGACAATATAGTTAGACAACTATGAAGTTGCCTTCATAGTTGAAGGCAAATATAAAAATGCCTTCAAATAAGCTACAATGGAACACTCAAAAATTATTTTTTCTTACTGTTTTTTAAATTTGTAATGGGCCTATGTATTTACAGGGATATTAAAGATTGAAATACATTTTGAAGCAACATGTGTATTTGACTAATGTATGATATGATATGTTTTCAAAGTTATGAAGTGACTGTGTTCCAGAGGTTATCTTGTCATGCCTTGCATCCCATGGCTGTAACCAAAAAGGCTTTGCTATGTAGTTCTTATTTCTATGCATGCCATGCATTTTGATCAATTTTTTTTTCATATATATCGAGAATTTCCTAAATTTTTCACTTGAATTCAAAGATCGAAAAAAAGGAACGGAAAGAAGGTATATATGTTCTGTTGTTTGAAGTTTGCCTTGTAACAAGCAAAACACTTGTAGGAGAAACAAAAGCATGCTTTCTCAAAACTCCAGAGTAATACTGTTTATGGTCTCCCTGCAGCTAGATCCTGAAGCTAGTACTATTCTGAAAGAACTTCAGGTTAAACTCAGTGGGGTTCTGGATGAGCTCAGCATCACTTATGGTGAAAGGTAAGTGACCTGAGTAGTTACTAACCAACTGTGTTAGGTTTCAGCTAATAGTAATCATGCTTTCAGTGCTGTTTCTCTCCTTTGACAGGTAAATCCATTTAACTTCAAGAATCTATCCAGGCATTAGCTCATCTGACCAGTCTTTCACAACTGCACAATAACCTGATGTCTTGCTACATGTTCCCCAGAACTCGGTGTAATCCTTCAGTTGGGTAGCACATACAACACTACGCTTTAAATTCTGATTTACTTGCCTGTCTCCCTGACTTTGCTGGTATACTTCTTAAGGGCAAAAACCACATCCCTCATTCCTACATGAAATTCTATGGGGCGCCTGGGTGGCTCAGTGGGTTAAAGCCTCTGCCTTCAGCTCAGGTCATGATCCCAAATCCTGGGATCGAGCCCCGCATTGGACTCTCTGCTTAGCTGGGAGCCTGCTTCCCTTCCTCTGCTTGCTTCTCTGCCTCCTTGTGATTTCTGTCAAATAAATAAATAAATCTTTAAAAAAAAAAAACAAACCACATCCCTCATTCCTACATGAAATTCTAGTGTTTAGAGTTTAGCAATTGGCTGTTGAAAGAAAAGGGAGGGAGGGAGAAAGACACGGAGAAAACCTTTACATACAAAAGAAGACTGACTTGCCTTTAGGCCATTTATATCGATGTAGTTGAACTTCCAAATAACTGAATCTAACCCCATAACCTAATTAAGTCAGGGTTCTATGTTTTAGGTCTTAGGAATCTTAATGTAATTACCCCATGGGAGAGTACTGGCAAATTCTTTTTTCGTATTTTTAAAAAATTAACTTTGTTTGTCTATAGTGTGGCTCTAAAGAAGGGACAATTCATCTGAGATAAACTTCACTTTGGTCCTATATGAAAAGGCCATTATATCATCATCAAATGTTAAAATAGAAAAGCAAACACATCTTTGGAGAGGTTTATTAATTTCATATAGAATTTGCTTTAAATATTAGTTCAATAAATGTTGACTTATTGTGTTCAGTTCTCAAGTGACACTATAAAAATTGCTCTAATGGTGAAGGCTGGCTATCTCTTTGAACACCACTCATTATTTTTTAATGAATTTTGGAAAGATACATGCTTAATAAACATTTATTGATTAGATACGCTACATTTATATCAGAAAGACTGAAAAGAAAAAGACACTAAAAGCCTCATGTAGATTTTTTCAAATATAGCAATTATGCAAAGTTAAAAAAAATCCCATACTGGTGTTTTCTTTATTATCAGGGGGATGTTCATTGTCTTTATACAGCCCACCTTCACAGGTGACGAGCCAGAGATAGCCTAATGCATTGAGTGCAGGGTGACTGCTCTGCCTTCTGTTTCGTGTTGTTAGCTGAACTGGATGAGTCTGCTTACTTCGCCTAGATGTTAATAAGCAATTTGAAGGTTCTGTTTACCTGGAGGTGGAAATGTAGACATTGTCCCAGAGATATGGGAGCTCTTTGGCTCTGACTCGAGTGACACCTAGTTGATGGGGCCTTTGGTCAGCCAGTTCAGCCTTACCTCTCTTCATTGTAGTTGTGAATTAATATGTGGTTAGCAAAAGACTGTTGCCTTCAGCTGGGAAGGCAAAAATAGAGGTTATTTAGCAAAGTCAGGGAAAATAAAAAGGTGTCAGGGAGAGCAAGGGGTGTTCAGAACCTCCTGGGAAATAAGATGACTAAACAGAATAGTAATCAGAATAGAAATAGAAAAAGTATATTCAAATTACTTTCTGTAAATAGTCAAGTCATCCTTAGGAAAAAATAGTTTTTAAAAAAATTTTTGTTTTGTTCTGTTTTGTTTAATGAAAGGGAGTTCAGGTTACAAAGGCTGAAATAGGAATTATGATTTAAAAAATTTGAGCAAACTTCAGTTATGAAATAAGGAATGGTGCTCTTAGAAGGGCACTGGAGGTATTTTGCTCCTATGAAGCCAGCTGTTTTAACCTAGATATTGAAACTCCTCGTTACCCTGTACTATGGCTTCATTGTTTTTTAAAATATAGGAAAGAATTTAATATTTTGTGCAATTAGGGCTAGGATTATTGGAATAAACAACCCAAATGTCCTGATTTTCTTATAAAAAGAATGATTATTATATATCTGTTGTTATCCATTTATTTCTCACACAACCACCTAGATCTACGTCACACACACACACAGGGTGGGGAGCAAGTCTGTAATGCTCAGGGCAACCATGCTGTTAAGTCAAACCAGATCATTTTAGTCTGAATCTACCCTCTTTAGAGTCTTAATTAGCAGCTTAAAGCTTTAAAATTAAGTGCATAATTAATTGTCCCAAACCTATTTTATCTGGTGTTCTTAAAACCCACAATTAAATAATCCTAGTGTATGTTGCTGGGAGGATAATTGCACATCACAGGACAGCCAGTGCAGACCCAAATCACACATCTGAAACCTGGGTTTCTGGGTTCTTGACACGCTCACGGGGTACCCACTTGTGACTGAAACTAAGTGATGTCGTTTCAGTGATATATTAAAGATGTTCGTAAAGATGTTCGTACATTTTTCAAAACTGGTGCCACTTCAGTTTTTGATTACACTTTGGACTTTGGCTTTTGGTTTACTACATTTCTTTTAATGATGCCTTTGGTACCAGGGGCTAGCTGGGTTGCATAAAGAATTCAGGAACATTTCCTAGGAATATTCCCTTTAGTATTTGGTTTCATGAGTGCTCACAAAATCCATCAATATTACCTGGTACCACTTTTATTCAAGCTGATTACTAAAGACCTCTCCAACTAAAAAGTGGATAGAGAAAAAGTATTTTGGACAAATTTACCAAAAATTGATTCACCCTGAATTAATGCTAAGATAAAATGCCATTATCTCTGATACACTGATAACCCTTCCTCTACATATGTGATCTCACACACACAGAGCTGGCTTCCAGTGGGAGTTCACCTGTTGGAGGAGAACTCATTTAAGCATTCTTGTAACATAACTGTCATACCTTCTGCTCAGTCTGTCCTCCACCCTAATACACTGATTTGAGAATCAGTGCAAAAGAAAGTAGCTATTTCAAAGGTTATTATTACTATAGTCAGCAGGACCATTGATGACCCAGTGGGAATCAAACTAGTTCAGATTTTCCAACATTATGTACCTTTCTTTTCTATTGTCCCAAGTATTTACCACCTCAGTCCTCAATAAATACACACACTACCACTTAAATTTCTCACCTTCTCCACCATGCCCAACACTACCTTCCTCTATAACCACTGCCTGACAAAAATCCAAAGGCAGGCCTAGCCAAATCAAAGCCAAATGTTCACACATCTGGATTCCTTTGGACCTGAGTCTGAAAGAGACACATAGTATTTTTAAATATTTGTAGAATGCATGTATGCATTGATAAATATTTATATTCTTTCTACTTAATAATGGAAACACTATATAGTGAAAATTCCTAAACTTCTTTATAAAATTTTAGGAATTTGTACAGTTGGATACTTGTCAAATAATATGAACCCTATAACCTTTGTGTGTGGAGAAAGAAGAAAGGGACAGACTTGATTGCAGTACTTTATAAGATGGACTCTTCCCTTTTAATTATCAACATTCTAGTGACAGAACTGTTTCCCAAGCTTTCATTTATCTCCATTCTCCTAAATGTTTTTTTCCCTGCCTGCCTGTATATCTGTTATAATTACTCCTCTTGTTGGAAATACGAAGGTGACAGACAAAATAGAGGAATGGTGGCAATGATGAGTCTCCATTATTTAAATTGCTTATTTTGTGCCAGTTACTTTTGTAAGGGATATAAAGGATGAAAAATAATGCTAAATATTACTCTTCACAGAGTTATTTAGATTCTCAGAGTGGTAAGGTAATAAAAGTGGGTGGAAGGAGGAGAGTCCTTGATACATTCAGCCATTTTTTTCTTGAGCAACCTCTTTGTTCATCTTGTTCCATGGTGTGGCTATATAGCACTAAAAGAAGGGAAAAAAAAAAGTCCCTGCCCTTGTGAAGTTTATATTCTATTTGGGCAACAGGCAATGAACAAATAAAGAATAAAGAATATGCAATGTGTCAAATAATTACTATAACACACACACATATATATGCATGCATGCAATTAAAAAAAAAAAAAAGAACTGCAAGGGAATGGTGAATGATAGAAATGTCATTTCAGATTGAGTTCAAAAAGACCTCTCTAAGGACCTCACATTGGGCATATGCCTGAAATAATTGAGGTCAAGAGACCCATAAGAAATTTCATGGAGGAGGGAACATAATAGTGGCCATGAGGTAAGAGTGTCCTCAGAGAATTCTAAGAACACTAAGATTTAGGATACTTTATAATGATTTGCTAGTGGATATTGGGTATGAGAGAAACTCATTAGACTTCTAAGTGGAAAGTTTTTGTAGGCTTGGAGCTCACATTAGAAGTCAGGTCCTGATGTGTTTTGGAATTACCAGTATATTGATGGTGTGAAAGCCATGAAACTAGATACAATTGAAAAAAAACAAAAAACAGAAACTCTATTTGATGGAGAAATGGAGTGATCCAATTATCAAGCATAGAGGATTACAGTGTAGGGTTGCCAGATGAAATATAGGATACACACAATTAAATTTGAATATCAGATAAATAGTGGATATATTTAGTATACATATGTCTGAAATATTGCTTGGGAAATACTTGTACTAAAGAATAATTCATTATCTGAAATTCAAATTACCTGGGTATCTTGACTTTTCATTTGCTAAGTCGGGCCGCCAACTCCAGTTGTTAGAGGTCAAGTAATAGAGAAAGAAGCATAGCCAATGAGGTTAGAGGGAAACCAAGAGTCCCAGATACCAAGTGAAGAAGGTGTACCTACATGCCGAGAATCTTTCAAGAGCAGTCATTTTTCCAAACAATGCTCAGAGGAATATCTCAACTATTACTGTGAGAGATGGGGGTCGCATGAACCCCCACTCCAATTAATTCAACCCAGAGAGCATTCCTTTTATCTGCTTTATATATATGGGTCCCAAGTAAGATTCCCTCCAGCAAAATTTTTTGCAGCTGAACCAGAAGTCTGAAGACTAAGCAGCAAGGGAATTCACACCATTTGGAGCCAATCAGACTCCTCAGAGTTGAATTAAACCGACACAGACAAAGAAGTCATAAATGCTTGCTTTTATTTCAGAATTTATATTCCTTATTTTTAGTTTCCAGCTTATCATTGAAGAGTGTATAAAACAGATGAGTTTTGAACTAAACCAAATGAGAACAAACGGAAATACTGCCTCAAATAAGAACAATGCAGCAATGAATGCAGAGATTGTACTAAGACCCCTCATGGACTTCTTGGACAAAACGTAAGTCTTCCACCTGGTTTTCTCTTTAACCACTACCCTAAATTTGATTGATATGGGGTTAAGGAAAAAGTTGTTTTCCTCTACATAAGACAGTTTTAAAAAGTTTTCTACAAAAATATAATAATTCATTAAAAAGGAAAAGACTTCTAGTTCATTACCTGATGGGAAAAAAGTACGAATGACTTCGTGCAGGAAAGGAAAAAAATGGAGAGGAAATAAATACTGGTAACCAATGAGTATGGTGTTCTGAGGGGAAGGAGCGTTAGGATTTGATGCTCCTCAGATAAGACATTGTTTTGCATCCTCTTGGACGTCAAAAAAGACTGGGTTAAGTCCAGAATGTCTGATTTCATGTCACAAACCTGAAGAAGAGAATAGCACAAATACGACTAGAATTAATTCAGCTCAGAGACAAGTTGAGTGCCTGACTCAACCTTCAATAATTTATTAAGTACCTATCTTTATCAAATTTTATTCTAGGCCCTAGGTAGTGATGAAAAAGAGAGTCAACGTCCCTGAGTGATGGAAATGATGGTCTCAGAGCAGTGGAAAAGCAGACCTTTGTGACCAACTAAGACAGTGTTCTTAACCAAAAATTCTTGTTTTTTAATGCTTCTACTAAGTCCCTACTCTTAGTAGCTCTAATTTTATAAGTTTGGAGTAGGGTCTAGGCACGTACATTTTAAAATGTGTCCGCAATTGGGAACCAATGATGTAAAACAACCAGAGACATGTTTTCTTTCTTTTTTTTTTTTTAAGATTTTTAAAAATTTAATTTTTTCAGTGTTCCAAAACTCATTGTTTATGCACCACACCCAGTGCTCCATGCAATACGTGCCCTCCTTAATATCCGCCACCAGGCTCACCCATCCTCTCATCCCCCACCCCTCCAAAACCCTCAGTTTGTTTCTCAGAGTCCACAGGAGACATGTTTTCTTAAACAGTGATACTTAGCACCAAACTGAGGGTAGAAAAGTAAAAAAAAATTCGAAAACCTACCAAGGGACCAGTGTTATACATGGTAGTTTGCACATGTTACCTCATTTAATATTGTTGCAGCAAATTAATTCATACCAAAGGGACCAAGATAAATAAGGATACAGTACCTGTCTTTAAAGAAAAAGACAATAAAGAAAGAATTATTAAGGAGGACGTATTCTATAACTTACATTTTAATTCCATTTCCCTTCCCTTAAAGTGTTACTGCATAAGCAAGACTAATGTTCTTATGACTTTAATTTTAATATTTGGTAGACAAATTAAGTTTTCTGTTCTTTATGAGAAAATATCTAGGAGATAGCTTAGCAGAAGGGAGGTAGGCAAGTGATGTAGAAGAAAGCCTTCTTCACTTCCTTAGTTTCTTAATGTATACTTTTACCATCTAATTTCCTACACAATCCCTTCATGTTTTTACTGTATTAGATGGCTCTTTTCTCTGGCCAATATGGAATCAAATCATATAAACATACCACCATTTTGTCAGGAGTGTGATAGTGAATGGAGAGCAGGACAAAACAGTGCCAATTCTCTTAAAACTCCTACTGGAAGAATGCCTTCTGGTTTTTTGACCTCCAGCAGCAGTTTGGAGACATGTCATTTATCATTAGCAAAGCTACGTATTTTTGTATATATTGTAGCCAAACATTATAGAACATACAGAAAGTTCTAACTTAATATAGTCAACTACTAGCTGAGAGACCTTGAATCCATTTCACCATCTGTAAAATGGGGCTGATACATAAAGTCAGTGGACCTTTTTTCTTCAGTGTATTTAAATTATTTTAATTTCTGTTTCTATTTTATTTCTATTTCTAGTTTTATTTAATTTTCTACTTAGAATTATACGTCATTATATCATCTTCTATATAACTTTCTAATTCATAGGAGAAAGGGACAGTATATAAAGATACAAAAAAACCTTTGAGCTTTAAAAATTTGTGAGAGATTAAAATTTTTGGAATGAGACATGAGGCATAAAGAGTTGCAGAAATTCTCAGAGCTAATAAAAAATGTGTAACCCTAAAGCCATTTGTTAGGGGAGATTTTTAAAAGTCAGATATTATTCTGTTCTCAGGGAACCAACAAGTTAGACAGGAAAAATAAACACAATAAGGTGTAAGTTTTAATTCCTTGTTCAGATCATGGATAGGTATTCCATTTGGTTGGATCTTTCCAGGTGGATAGGACTTAGAGGCATGGAAATGAGGGACAGGGATTTCGGGGGAGCGAGAACACCTGGATATGGTTTTCATAAAAATCTGATCAACTGTATGACAACAAATTCCTATTGCCAGCTGGTATACATGGCATTTGAAAATTGTCGGGTTGATTGGTCTGTGGTCAACCAGCCTAGATAACTCTGTTTCCAAAATATAGGCTTTTCAGCTTGCCTTATGCTGTTGGTTAACTCTGACTAAATTAAGGAAGCAGTTGCTAGATCTCCTGTTTGTTCATTTAAAATGACTAATAAAGGGCTGGGAGTCTTCAAGGTAGCTTTGAGAAAAATCCCCTTAGAAATCGTGTTATGTTACAAATGTACAGGTTCTCTAAATATAACATCTTATTTCTTTATGTTTCCATTTCTTCACCAAGACCTCCCCACTCTATAAAGCAAGCTGTAAACTCTTTGACCAGCTGGCAGAAATCCCATGCAGAGCCGCAAACAGGTCAAGGATTTTATACCTGTTCGCTCAATTCCAGTCTCAGCCGAGTTAGCTGGCATGCCAAGTATATGAGCGGACCATAAAAACAAGGTCAATTCTTAAACTCAGACCTTTTGAAAATGGAAACGACACGTCTGCTACAAAACTGGCAGATTCGTTTTGTCTCAAATTACCCTAGGGATGTCTCTGAGATTAGGTCCTGTCATTGGGCTATGATCCATCTGCTCGTTTCTACCCTAGGTCCATATCGTGGCTGCTGCCCTCCAACGGTGTTATGCAAAAGAGCGGGGCTACACGTTCCACAGCTGTGCACAGGGGCCCCGTCTTTCCTCTTCATCCAAAGGGGGCTCTTCTGCATTTTCATATACTAGGGATCTGCATATAGTAGTGTCAAGTAATTCTACATAAATATGTATTTGGGAAATCTTTCCCTTTGCCTCTCACATGTCACATGCCTTTATATATTAATCACATGCATTTAAAATAATAAATTCTGTCTCTTTTAGAAACCAGAATTCAAGTTGTAATTTCTTTACTAATTTTTTTTTAAGATTTTTTTTTTTTAATTTATTTGACAGAGAGAAATCACAAGTAGGCAGAGAGGCAGGCAGAGAGAGAGGAGGAAGCAGGCTCCCTGCTGAGCAGAAAGCCCGATGTGGGGCTTGAACCCAGGACCTGGGATCACGACCCGAGCTGAAGGCAGCGGCTTAACCCACTGAGCCACCCAGGCGCCCCTCAAGTTGTAATTTCTAAGTCCAAAAGCACAGAGTACGGGCAGCGCTATAGGGGGTTTGAGGCTCTCCTCAGGCTCTCTGCGCAACAGGTTTGATTGGCTTTTATTAAAGGCGCCTCAGAGAGTTCAGTGTCCTATTACAGCACATTCAGTAAATGTCTGTGCAGCTCTGGGACTTCACAGACTGCTGGGTCTTCATACAGTAACGTATTTGCCCAGGGCAGCAGGGGGGCATTGGACGACACCCTGAATTCGGAGGATGTTTCAGGCCTCACGTACTAGCTTCACTTCTTGGACAAGTACCCTAACTTCTCAGAACCTGTTTTTGGATTATAAAATGGGTATAGTAATAAACAAAAAAAAGATCTGCCAGAAGAGGTTTTTAAACTAAGGCGTCATATAAAAATAGGTGATGTTATTGTCATTCTCACGCTGAGAAGAATTTGTAAGAAATATACATTTAAACCGATTAAAGCTGGTAAATTTGGAATCTTCAAAACTGAACTTAGAGAAACAGAACAGATTAGTAGTTGCCAGAGGTGAGGGGGGGGGCGGTGTGGGGAGAATGGGTAAAAGTAGTCAAAAGTTAGGAACTTCTAGTTAGAAGATACATAAGTCGTAGGAATGTAATGTAGAGCACGATTACTATATTAACAATATTTTATAGTATATTTAACAATTGCTGAAGGTAGGATAGATCTTCCAAGAACTGTTAACTGTCTGAGGTCATGGATGTTAACTACATTTACTGTGGTAATCATTTTACACTATATATGTATGTCAAATCATTACGTTATACACCTAAACTTACAAAATGTTCTATGTTCATTGTCTATCCGTAAAACTGCAACATAAGTAAAGCTGGTAAGTTTTGCCTCTTGAGTAAAATTACATGCATCTTTTTTATGTTGGAACAGTGTCAGGTAGTGAAGAAAGCATGTTTCTTTGGTGTTTGGCCTGTATCATGAATATGGGGTATGTAGTAAATAGAAGTTAGGAATGTGGATGAAAATCACATACGTTGGGGGCCTTGATGTCAATTTAGGAAACAATTTAAGCGGAGAGAGACCCTGAATTCATTTTCTACCAAATAGTAAATTGTCAAATATATGTGTTGAAACATATATTTGATATTATGTATTTTGTTCGATAAATGAAATTTAACATTTGAAAATTATAAAGGCCTATTCATATATTTGAAATCCCAGGAATTTATTCCAAGATTTAAAATCCCAGGATCCCAGGGTATCCTGGGATCAAGCCCACATTGGGTTCCCTGCTCAGCAGGGAGCCTGCTTTTCCCCCTCCCTGTGCCTGCTGCTCTGCCTACTTGTGCGCTCTCTCTCTCAAATAAATAAAATCTAAATCAGTCAATCAAACAATCAATCTCAGTATTGAAAAACTTGAATTTCTGATCAATAAAATAAGTTGATACTCTCCTATGAGGCTTTTAAATGATTAAAAGTTTTATTTTAAGTGATTATATGTTTTGCTTTATTTCAGATTAAGTCTCTCAGCAAAAATCTGTGAGAAAACAGTCCTGAAGCGAGTTCTAAAGGAGTTATGGAAGCTAGTTCTTAACAAAATAGAAAAACAAATTGTTCTCCCTCCTCTGACAGATCAAACAGTAAGTATTTAAAACCAAGATTCAATTAAACTTTTTGTTCTAATTTTTATTTTTTATTATTGATGTGTAGTTGACATACAATGTTAAATTAGTTGCAGGTGAACAACAGTGATCTGAAAATTCTATATTCAATGCTCACACAATAAATGTAGTCACCATCTTTTAATATATAAACAGGTTATTAAAATATTATTGACTCTTCCCTATACTGTACTTTTCATCTCGATTTATTTATTTTATAACGAAGTTTGTACCTCTTAATCCCCTTCACATATTTTACCCATCTCCCCACACACCTCCTCTCTGGCAGACACCACTTTGTTTTCTGTATTTATGAGTCTGTTTCCGTTTTTTTGTTTGTTTATTTGATTTGGTTTTTAGATTCCAGGTATAAGTGAAATCATATGGTATTTGTCCCTTTCTGTCTTAGTTCACTTGGCATAACACCCAGTGGGTCCATCCATGTTGTCACAAATAGCAAGATCTCATTCTTTTTATGACTGAATAATATTCCATTATGTGTGTATGTGTATACACAAACACACACACCACATCTTCTTTATCCATTTATCTGTTGGATGGACATTTAGGCTGCTTCCATATCTTGGCTCTTGGAAATAATGCTGCAATAAATATAGAGGTGCATATATCTTTTTGAATTAGTGCTTTCATATTCTTTGGGTAAATACTCAGCAGTAAAATTACAGAATCATATGGTATATCTTTTAATTTTTTGAAAAACCTCCATACTGTTTTCCATAGTGGTTCCCCCAAATTACATTCCTATCAAGCAAAATCAAGTGCGTGTGGATTCCCTTTTCTCCACATCCTCACCAATAGTTCTTATTTCTTGTCTTTTAGATTCTAGTCATTGTGACTAGAGTGAGGTGATATTTCATTCTGGTTTTAATTTGCCTTTCCCTGATGATTAGTGATGTAGAACATCTTTTCATGTGTCTCTTGGCTATGTGTGTGTCCTCTTTGGAAAAATGTCTATTCAGGTCCTCTGACTGTTTATAATCAAATTACTTAGGGTTATTTTGTGGTTGTTTTGAGGTTTTTCAGGGTTAAGCTTTGTAAGTTTTTCACATGTTTTGGGTATTACCCCTTAACAGATAATATCATTTGCAAATATATCTCAGATTCATTAGGCTGCCTTTGCATTTTATTGATTTGTGTTGCTTTTCAAAATCTTTTTATTATAGTAGTATAGACCCAGTAGTTTTTTTGTTGTTGTTATTTCCCTTCCCTAAGGAGAAAGACCCATAAATATGTTGCTAAGGCCCGTTCCCAAGAGATCACTGCCTGTTATCTTTTAGGGGTTTTATGGATTTAGGTCTTACATTTAATGTTTAATCCATTTTGAGTTTATCTTTGTTTATGGCATAAGAAAGTAGCCTGATTTCATTCTTTTGCATGTAGCTGTCCAGTCTGTCCAACACCATTTATTGAAGAGACTCTCTTTTCCCCATTGTACACTGTTTTCTTTCTTGTTGTAAATTAATTGACCATATAAGCATGGACTTATTTCTGGATAAATAGCATGGATTTATTTCATGGATTGCCATTCTGTTCTATTTATCTATGTGTCTGTTTTTGTGCCAGTGCCATACTGTTTTGATTACTATGACTTGGTAGTATATCTTAAAATCTGGGATTGTGATACCTCAAACTTTGTTCTTTCTCAAGATTCCTTTGACCGTTCAAGTTTTCCATACAAGTTTTGGGATTATGTGTTCTAGTTTTGTGAAAAATGTCATTAGTATTTTGTTACGGATTTCATATAGACTTCCTTGGGTAGTATGGACATTATAATGATATTATTTCTTCACATCCATGAGCATGGTGTATTTTTTCATTTGTTTATACCATCTTCAGAATATAAGTGTTTTACCTCTTTGGTTAAATTTATTCCTAGATATTCTATTCATTCCTCTGGTGCAATTGTAAATGGAATTATTTTCTTGATTTCTCTTTTTGCTACTTCATTATTAGTGTATAGAAGTGTAACAGATTTCTGCATATCAATTTTTTATCCTGTAAGTTTACTGCATTCATTTATCAGTTCTAATAGTTGTTTGTTTGTTTGTTTGTTTGTTTTTGGTGGAGTCCTTAGGTTTTTCCATGTATGTAGTATCACGTCATCCTCAAAAAGTAACAGTTTTACTTCTTCCTCACCAATTTGGATGTATTTTCTTTCTTTTTCTTATCCAATTGTGAAGCCAGTCCTCCAGTGCTGTATCGAATAAAAGTGGTGAGAATAGATATTCTCTTCTTGTTCCTGATCATAAAGGAAAAGCTTTTTTTTCATCTACTGAGGATATTAGCTGTGGGTTTTTCATATATGCCCTTTATTATGTTGTATTTTGTCAAATGCTTTTTCTCTATCTATTGAGATGGTTCTCTTTTTATTTTTTGGACTGTCTTTATCTGGTTTTGGTATCAGAGTAATACTACTTTGGTTTGAAAAGATGCTTAATAATGATACCAGTCTTCCTAAATTTATTGAGATTTGTTTTGTGGCCTACCATGTCATATATCAGTCCTGGAGAATATTCCATGTGCACTTGAAAAAAAATGTGTATTCTGCTGTTTTGAGATGGAATGTTCAGTATATATCTTTTAAATTCATCTGGTCTAATGGATTCTTCAAAGCCACTGTGTCCTCTGATTTGCTGTCCGGATGATTTATTGATGGAAGTGAGCTGTTGCCGTCCCCTACTATTATTGCATTACTGTTAGTTTCTTTCTTTATGACTATTAGTGTTTGCTTTATGCATTTCCATGCTCCTGTGTTAGTGCATGGATATTTACCAGTGTTATGGCCCCTTGTTGGACTGATCCTTTTGTCTTTATGGGATGCCCTCCTTTGACTCTTGCTGTTTAGACTTTGTTTAAAAGTCCACTCTAAGTCCTGCTACTCTAACTTCCTTTTTGCTTCCAATTGCATGGAATATCTTTTTCCATCCCTTCTCTTTCAGTCTTTACATGTCCTTAGGTCTGAAGTGAGTTTCTTGTAGGCAGCATATACATGGGTCTTTTTTATTTTTTATTCCATTGAGTTATCTCGGAGCATTTTGTCCACTTACTTTTAAAGTACTTACTGATAGGTATGTACTTACTGCCAATTTGTTGTTTTCTGGTTGTTTTTGTACTTCTTCTTTGTCCCTTTCTTCTTTTGCTCTCTGTGGTTCAATGGCTTTCTTTAGTGTTACACTTGAATTTCTTTTTATTTAGTGTGTATATCTTAGAGGTTTTGATTTGTGGTTACCATTGAGTGTATATAAATACCAAATGTTAAGTTGGTGGTCACTCAAGTTTGAACACATTCTAAAAACACTAAATTTTTATTCCCCCACCTCTACATTTTGTTAATGATGTTATATTTTAAATATTTTTATTTTATATATCCCTTGACCTATTTTGGGTAGATAGAATTGATTTTGCTATTCTTATGTTTTAATCTCCATACTGGTTTTATAGGTGATTAATGTACTACCTTTACTACAGTTTTACTTTTATCTGTGAATTTTTTTCCTTTCATAGTTTTCCTATACTTAAGCCTTTTTGTCTACTTAAATAATTTAACATTTCTTCAACACTTCAACATTTCTTATAAGACTGGTTCTGTGGTGATAAACTCCTTTTTGCTGGGAAACTATTTTTTTTTTCATTCTGAATGATAACCTTATCAGATAGAATATTTTTCACTGTAGATTTTTTCCTTTCAGCACTCTGGCCTGCAGTTTCTGTTGAAAATTCAGCTGGTAGCCTTACAGTGTTTCCCTTGATGTAACTATTTTCTTTTCTCATGATGCCTTATCTCTCCTTAACATTACATTTTGCCATTTTAATTATCACGCGTCTTGTTGTGTACGTCCTTGGTTTCATCTTGTTAGGTAAGGGCTTTCTATTCTTCCTGGGCCTGGATGTCTGTTGCCTTCCCCGGATTAGGAAATTTTTGAACACCCTTCCCTCTCTCTTCTCTTTCTGGGATGCCTAAAATTCAAATGTTATTACTCTTGATGGTGTTATTCTTGGGTTTTACTTGATGCTGTTCAGCTTGGTTGCTTTCCGTGACCCTGTCTTCCAGATTGCTAATCCATTCTTCTAGTGTATGTTTCACCTCAGTTATTGTATTCTTCAGCTCAGACTCTTTTTTATATTTTTTATCTCCTTTTTGAAATCCTCATTACATTCATTGACTCTTTTTTCAAATCTGTTGAGAATCTTTATGACCGTTACTTTGAAACCTTTATTAGGCACACTGAATAGTTCTGTTTAGATCTTTTCTGTGCCTTTTGTCTTATTCTTTCATTTGGGACATATTTTTCTGTCTCCTCAGTTTGTCTAACGCAGTGTTTGTTTTTGTGTATTAAGTAGGTCACTGCCATTTCGTGGTTGTGACAGTTGTGGCCTTGTAGAGATGTCCCATGGTCCCTTGTAGCACAGTCTCTTCTGGTCACTAGAACCAGCAGGTATAGGGTTGTTGCCCTGTGTGGGCTGTGTGTACCCCTCTGTTGTGGCTGAGGTGTGACTGCTGTGAGCTCACCGTTGGGTGGGTGGGGCCAGCACGCATCCTAGATAGCTACTATTGGACTCTGACAGCTTCTTGCACAGCAAAGGGCAGTGCTTGCTCCCTGTGCAGCCATTTAGAGGTCCAGCTGCAGGAACGATGGACATGCTCGTGTGTGGGGGTTATCTCCCATTCCAAGAGCAAGAGCCAGTCTAGAGGGGCACTGGGCCAGGGCATGTTTGCTGGCAAGGTAGATAGAGTTTTAACACTGACTCCCACAAGTGTCTGGCTATTCTGGCTGGGGAGGACAAGAAAATTTGCACCTGCCACTTTTATTTCCAGAGAAATCTGCAGATGGCTGACCCTCTGGCACACACCCGAAAATTAGTCAATCAGCCCTCCTGTATACCCTGGGCACTTTTTCAAACTACTGCCTCTGTGGTCCTGACCAAGTTATTTAGCTTGCTCTCTCTGTAGGAGCAGGACTTGGTTACCTATCACCTTCCAGGGCTCCCAGAGTTAAGCCTTGCTAATTTTCAAAGCCAGGTGTTATGTGGACTTCTCTGCCCTCTGTGGGTCCCCAGCGCTAAGGGTGCCCAGTGTGGGGTCTGATCTCCTCACTTCTCTGACCTGTGACATCTCTCCTATTTGCAGTGAGTCACACCAGGTGTTTGGTTCCTGATTGTGTCTCTGCCCCTCCTACCCTTTCCGATAGGGACTTTTCTCTATGACTAGCTTTGGAAGATCTGTTCTGCCAGTCTTCAGGTTGTTTACAGAGTTAGTTATATAGAGGTAGTCATTTCCTTGGTGTGTCCGTGGAAGGAAGTGATCCTCCTGTTCCATCTTGTTCCTCTCTCCCTTGGTCACACTTTTAGTAACCCATCTAATTGTACTTTAGTGAATGATTTTCATCCAGCTAAAATAACGATTAAATCCATTTTGGGAAAAAGTCTTCAGCAAACAGTAACTAAACAACGACCATTCAGATGACATTTTCCTATACAAATCAATTTGAAATAGTGTCGGTAGCAGTCAAATTTCACAATTCCTTGACATTCAGAACTTCATTTTTTGGGAAAAAGAAAGTATGAAAGTTTAACTTACAGCATTATCTGGTCTATACACATAATTTTTAAACTTAATTTTACTGTGAAACCCCACGGAAATAAATTTTGGATAGAATACCCGCACTGTGCTTTTTTCTAAAACATTATAGTTTAAGAGGATAAATCCAACACTGCTATAGGGAATATTTTTCTCCTTTCCATTTTATTTTCATCTATTACCTTTCCACTTGAAGGTTAATAGAGGAGACGCCTTTTACTGGGTTCAAAGAATATGACTGTATCATACTTAGTGAAATAAAAAGGAACCAGAAAGCTCATTTGGGAGCAAAGTTAGGCAGTGGTCAAATGGATGCACACAGTACCAGGTATCTCAGTTCACATATCCTGAATCAAACAACAAAAAAGAAATAACCTTAGCATGCACATATTATGGAATAAGTATTTTTTTTCTGTGACTGAGAAATATAAGTTGATGCAAATAATGAGTAATTATAAGCTAAACTCGAATGTTTTGACACCATTAATTGTGCAGACTAAGTCCATATTTCATGAAATTCTATAGGAATTGTTTTCTTATAAAGTGTTCAGAGATGCAAAGATTCATGTTTTTGTTGATTTCCTGCCAGCAAGTGATAAAATCTGTTATAGCCTACACACATATGGAAAGCCAAATTACATACATACATGCACGCTTGATTCTGCTACATTTCTGTAACACCCATTAGCTCTAATGGAATTGGGAGCAGCGGGAATGGCCTCAGTATAATCTAGAAGTTGAGTTGGTTGATGTATAAATTTTCCTAGGTGGGAGGCTCTGAAATATAATAGAAGACCTATAAATTCAGCAGAAAAGGAAAGGACACTCAGCTAAGCTACTACATGGTGGTGGAAGGCACACTTGGACATGGTTCTTCTACCCAAACAGATGAAGCTTGTATGGCTCTCACACAGGGAAGGCTGCCCTCCCCCTGCTGAGAGTTCCAGTTGTATGAGTATTGCCCCAGCCCACATTTGTACTCCTTTGTTTGGGTTATTTATTATTTTGCATTTCTACTACCCCACTGTGGCAGCCATCAATCAGCTCCCTGTGTGCCATACAAGATATCTCCCAAAGTAGCACTTCCTGTTTTTGATCACTCATTGGTAATAAAATTGCATAAGCTTTGACTATGCTGCCCATTGCTATTTTGCCCATGAGCCCTATTATTTCCAGAGCACAATTTTGTAGAATGAGGTTTTTCAAAAATACATACATCATGCTATAGTGGAAAGTATATGACATACCATTTTTTCTATAAGGCCTTCCCTAGGATAGCTTACATCACCTCAATTTTCTCTAGCATTGAGTTCTCAAAGCATGAAGCAATATCTGTCACTCATTCATTCACTATGTGTTCTCAGAGCTCTGGTGTGTGCTGGGCACCGTGATGGGGATGAAAATAGGAGCAAAATTAGATGCAGTTGCTGTTCTCGTAAACTTTGTAGTCCTTCATTTCCTAATCAACTCACAGGATCCGCTAAAAAATGAAAAGTATTATTCCAGAATAGCTGATTTTTCCCTCCTGAGAAATATTCTAGGGACTTATAATGAACTTTGTACTGAATTTACTTTTTCCTGCCAGTTTTACCAACAGGCATACCTCTAGTTTTCATTCTAGTAGTGCTGTGGATGGTTTAGTCCTCTGTTCTTCAAGCTTTTCCTGGGACGTTGGCATTCTAGGAAGAGCCTCTGGCTGAGGGGAGAGTTAAGGGGCAGGTCTCTGATAGACTGGACAGCATTGGAAGAGCAGCAGCTTCACCTGCCTCAACTCTATATCTTGAAAGTTTGCATAGATCTATTTGGGGCCAAGTGGAGTGAGGGAGCTGCCTCTACTAAAAATGAATAAATGTTAAAGATCATGGATTAAATCCATGTGCTACATTAAATCAGCTATGTTAGTAGTAATCTGTGTGTTAACTCAGACTTAAAATTCTCAGAAGTGGGATGCCTGTGAGGACAATTATATTGCCAGCAGTACTAGATATCTTTGACCCAATCTGTAAAACCAGTTAAGTGTATATGGCATAAAAGTCACAAGTATAAGAAGGGAAATTTAATTTTCTATTGACTACATTTCTATTGTTACTGAAGATCTTAAGACTGACTGAGTATTCTCTCTCTTTTTCTATGTGTGTCTCTAGGGACCTCAGATGATTTTCATCGCAGCTAAAGATCTTGGACAATTATCCAAACTGAAGGTAATAAGAATAAAGGGATTATCAGTTGTCTGTGAAAGATAATGAGCTAATTACAGCTCTACAAGAAACTATCCTCCCACTAGTAATGGTATCCAGCACGGCAGGACTAAGATGCATGTCTGTGATCTCACAGACAAGCTTTAAGGATGAATCAAGTCAAAAGTTAGAGTCTGAACTTTATGGTTTTCTTTTTTTTCCCCAAAGATTTCTAATACTTTCCAATTGGTAGGACAACTGGGAAATTTTGGCTTTAAGTTAGATCATGTTTTTTTTTCATATATGAAACAGGCTTTGTATGAATAAAGGCAAAATGGAGCGCTTCGTAGAAGTCTAGTAAAGTTTAGAAAAATCTTAAAGGCAAGAAGGCTAGGGTGGAAAAATGAAAAGTTCAAAGCAAACCTTGAACTTGTCAATATATTCAAGCACATTGTAAATGAGGATTTGCTGACTTAATAACTCTGCCCTTTCTTATTGCTCAGATTCACAGGACTGTGCAGTTATGCGGGGAACATCAGCTTCTGTCCTTCTAGAATAGGAACTTGACTGATTAAAATGTATATTGTGCATCTTTGACTGGCTTTTTCACTTAGAATAATGTCCTCTAGGTTCTTCCATTTTGTTGCATTTGGGTAGATTTCCTCCTTCTTAAGGGCCAAATAAGATTACCACATTTTCTTCATCCATTCATTCATCAATGGATGACATACAGGCCAACACTGTGCCTATCGTAGAAGTATGTGTTGCTTTAGTTCCATTTCTTTCTCTTAAAATATAATTCCAGACGCAGACCACCTTAGTTCAAATTCTACCTCAGCTGTTTCCAACACATTGACAAATGACATTGTCATTGCCATGTGTCCATGACACATGGACATTTGACATTGGCCAAAGTATTTAAACTTCTTAATCTTCAGATTTGGCATTTATAAACTGCAGAACATTTTCACACTTGCTTTGTAGGATTTTTGTGAGGATAAATGAGATAATGCATACATTATCTTTGCATGGTAATTGTCAAGATTATGCCACCACCCTATCACAGAGGCTGGCAGCTCAGAGTCCGGTCTCACTGGGATTGTTTTATGTGTATAACACAAAAAGAATAATCCATTTAACTGCATAATTACTTACTGAGACGAAATAGGTGTCCTATAGTTTCAGTACCCCATATTACCCCCTTGCTCAGATAAAAAAAATTGGAAGTCAATAATCCATTTAAAAGACATCACCTAAAATTTCTTCTTAGAGGTGTTCAGTTATGTTGATGGTTTAGAGGAAAGGTCAAAGGTAGATGTTACTCCCACACTATTGCTTTGGATCTTAGATCTTGATCCCTTCCTTTATCCCTCTTATTATCTTCCTGGGATTTATATTCCCTACTTTGAGAAATGGATTTATACAGGGTTGAAATTCCTCAATAAAACCATGAAGGTGAAACAGCATAGTATCTCATTACAAAAGAAATGGTCCTAGATATGCTTCTCGCATCCATGTGATGTTAGAAAACATTCTCCATCTCCCACAGCTTCAGTTTCCTGAGTTGGAAGTCTTATCAGCCAGAACTGTTTTCAGTTCCAAGTGCTAGAAAGCCAGACTAACATAAGCAAGGAAGGAATTTATTGCTACATGAAATTTTATAGCCCTAGATAACTCTGCTTTCCATTACTGCTTGATTAGGAACTCAAAGAATGTTATGGAACCTGGTTAGTATCTCTCGACTCTGTTCTTTCCTTGTGTGATGTATGGCTGTAACAAACCTACCTTTTTATTTGTAAGATGGTTGTCTCTGCTCTATATCTAACATCCTTTGAACTTGAAATGTTGTAAAAAAGAACACCAAGCTTGATGTGAGGAATTCCAACAAATCCCACCAGCACATCCTGGTCTCTGATAGTGTTATTACCACTTCAAAGCCAACCACTGTGACACAGGCTTAACTGACATACCAGCCTATGAGCTGGGGGTGCAGTCAGCTCTGCCTGCATCTTATGAACTCTGAGTGGGGTGGAGATAGCTCCCCAGAGTGCATACATATGCTAGGTGGGAAAAATCAAACAAAACAGAACACATTAGGTCCCTTTGCAGCTTCCAAACTTCAAGACTGTAACAAACTAAAAACAATAAAATGTCCTAAAAGGGTAACTATTATTCAAATTACAGAATAAGGCCTCTATAATACTTTGCAAAATTAAAACTCTGACCATAATAAAGAATTTCAAATTTTCCAAACCATTTTCCCTTATTTTACCAAAATGTCACTTCCATTTTAAATACTTGGTCTTCGCAATATTTGTATTTTAGTTTGAAAGCAGGTTGGGATAAATCCAAAAATCTTAATAATTATCTAACTTACTTAAAGGAATGCAGAGTCAAGGAAAATAGAACAATGAAGGAAATTGTTTTTCTGCATTTGACTACCATTTAGGATTAATCCATTAAAGAAGTATTTATTCAGCCATTTGATACATTACTTTATGCTCTGGAACTTCATAATGTAGATATATTATGTATGCCTAACTTATTACTATTTAATGGGATCAGATTGGCATAATTTTTTGAAAACATAAGTATTTTTAGACAGGTGATAGAATATTAAAACCAATTACTACATCAGAGACTGTAAATTTACTGCAAGCATGCAGTAACTCATTGCCAGGCTCTTTCAGAGACTCCCTTATCTTAATGAGCTATTTTTAGATCTCTGAAATTATTTCTTCCTTAAATTATATTTTTCTATAACAAAGAGTTGAAGCCAGACTGGTTTGTACTTACTTACCCTTAAACATTTCCACCTACAATTTAGTAAACATTTTCCATTACTGTTTGAGTCTCAATGGGTAGTTAATATTCCTATTTTTAAAATATTAAAAGGACACATACGTTTGTGTTGAAAATCCTGTATCAGACAAACATGTAGTGAGATGTCATGGATCCATGGGGCATTGTATACCTTTTTTTTTTTTTCCAAAATCTTCAAAGGAGTATGATTTCATTCAAGGGTATTGAACCCTACAACATTATACTTGAAAGAAGTACAATTCATTTACCAAAAATATATTGAATTCCTAGCAGGTTATAATTGCCAAGATAGGTACTGAAAGACTGCAGACTTGAGTAAGACATAGATCAAGATTATCTTGAGAAAGTCATGGCATCTACCAAATAACAATAAGAAAAGGACTAGAATAGGGTGAGGCACTGGGGATTGAAAAATCTGAGCATTGCACCCAAGTGCCTGACCACTTTTGTGCAACCACTGAAAGAGAGCCCATGCTCCACCTGCCAAGCTGTACATCTTGATGTAGATCTGTGCCCTGTAGAAGAAGAGGCACCTGTTCTTAAGAAGGAAAGGCAGTGATTGAACCGTTAGTCAAGCCATGCATTCTCAGAGCTGTGTCCGTTCATTTGGGCTTTCCTCTAATTCACATAAGACACCTGTATTAGTTCGCAGTTAAGCTTCCGGAGGACAAAAGCCTTTCTTTGAATGAACAACCTATCACAATTACCTGGGACGGCAGAGGCATATAATAAGCACTCAATAAATATCTGTTGAATATTGTTGACTAGAATAGTGGCACCTCCGGGGAGACTCAGTTTTGGTGGGGCGGGGGGGCGTGTCAGGAATTTTTAAAATTTTCTCTTAGGTTTCTTTTTCCTTTGTGGTTGTCTTCAACTTTCTACCATCATTTCCCTAAGGAAGTTTTGAATGATGGGTTGAGAGAGTCCATAATGAACAATGAGGAAAATCCACCAGAAATGTGAAAATCAGCTCTAAAATTTTGGAAAAAAAAGATTTTAAAATAATGAAAATCTGCAGAGCCAAATTCAGTTAATTCTTGGGAGCTTAGTAATGACTAAGCATTAAGGGGAATCAAGAAAGAGAAGGAATTGGGGCCATTATAAAGTAGACTTTATCGTAGTAATTGAAAGAGGCTAAAATTCACCTCCTAACTCCCTGTCATGATTGATTTTCCTCAAAGTAACAGATAAGGTAAAAAAGCTTTGACACATGTTTCCAGATTTCTTTTTTTTCCCCTAACATTAACTTGCAAGTGAAAAGTAAAACCACATACAAATCAAAGTTCAACATTTCTTCTTTTGGAAAAGGGGATATTTATTGAATATATGACAAAATAATCCTCTCAGGTGTGTCCATGTGGGGATTATGCAGAGTCTGTTTGAAAACAGTTGTTGAATGGATTAATTGGTTAATGCATAAGTAATTGCTAACCTGTTTTCTAGGAGCACATGAGTCGGGAGGATGCCAAGGGTCTGACGCCAAGACAGTGTGCTATAATGGAGGTAGTCTTGGCTACCATCAAGGTAAGCTTACAGTACTCCTGAATTATACATCCCCAGTCCTCTATTTGCCCTCAGAGAAAAGTATCCCACATACATATCTGTAGAGCTGTGCCATCCATAGACACAGAAGATGGTTGTATGGGTATATTCCCAGAGTATGTCAGATTGAGCCTGTACTCTCGCCACATTATCCGTGTTCCTCTGCCCTTATCCTTGTTCCTTTGTCTCTGGAAGAAAATGTGTGTGAAACCTATGTTATAACATGTGTTTTCAAAGAAAGACATGTACGTACAGCCCCCCCCCCAAGTTCAATTAAATAGATGCTTCAGGAGGTTTGGGGTTAACAGAATTTCTTTTCATGTTTTCTACACTTGTTGAAATGGGTTTTAAAAGATCAATCTTCTCCTCTCTCTTAGTAAGTGCAATAATTTAATTTTCTGCTGGAAACCCAAAGGTATTGTGTTGTGTGCATCAAATTTTTCACAGCCACAGGTTGACCAGAAGTTATTGTGGTGGGGGCTAAAAATGGACAGACCTCAAAATGTAACTTAGAAGTTGTTTCCATATAATTCCTTTTATATTTTTATACATGTTTCATATTTACATATATGCATTTTATATTCTTATATGAAAGCTTATTTAAGAGTGAATTAACTAATTTATTGTCTGAATTTAAACCATGTCCATTGTCTGCACGTGTCACTGGGGGAAGCATCGCCTATCCAGCATGCGTGAACAGCATAGCAAAAACTGCTAGCTACCATGAGCCATTTTCAGAGCACAGAATTGTAGAGGATACAAACAAACATTATGATGCTGTTCATTAAAATAGACTTGTGCAACAATTGGGCACCTCCAGAAAATTGTTACCTCCCAGCTTTGGTTTTATAGTTTCAGCATTTAATAAGAGGCCATCTTTTCCTGCTTCAGTGTAAAATGAAAAATGAAATATAAAATGAAAGTTGTGAGGTGGGAATTTTGTGACACCTGGTGGAAACTGGAGAGTGGATTTAGGCAGTGAGACTATAGCAATGGAGTTTCTAAAGCTACAGCTAGAGTGTTATCCGGAAGTCTGGAAATTTTGCACAACCATTTTAAGGGAAAAAATGGAAAACTTGAAAAAGAAGCAGAAAAAAAATGCAAAACAAGCTCTTTCTAAAAAATTGTTTTCAGAAAAGTGAATAAGAAATGACTGACCTTTGGAGTTATAGTAGAACTAATGGCCACAAATCAGGAAATGCTAGTAGAAAAAATAAGAACTTTGAAGTATACCATGAAGAGAAGAAAAAGTAAAATTTTTAGATTCTGAATTTAGCCCTTTTTGAATTTTATTAAGTCAATGCTTGACTTCAAGAGAGGAAAAAAAATGTGTTCCATGAAAAGAAATGGCATTCAGACCTGGCTTCTGTCCCCACCAACAGCATTTCTTCTATTCCTCTTGGTTGGGGCACATGATCGCCATCTAGTTATACCCAAAGTCTGGGACATTCCTGATCTTCAAACAGGTTCCCCCTTCTACATTTTGACAGCTCAACTATTCCATCTTCCTCTCCAGGTCATCTGGGATAATCTTTTAATTCAGTCTTAAATAGTTCCACTAGCTGGTGTCTAAGATCCAGTAAATGGATTCATGCCATTATCTTGTTCCTCTAGGGCCTGACTCTGGTCCTCCTGAACGTCAGAGCCTGAGGTCAGGTCTCTACCTCTATCCCTATGATGAGACTCTTATCCCTCTGGTCTGCCCATCTGCCAAGGCATACACCTGGGCGTTCATTTCTATGGCTCTGTCATCAGTTTGCCACAACTGCAACTTCCTTTATCTTGTCCGATTCTGAGATTTGCCCCAACTGAATGTCCTACCACGCCCTAATTCTGATGTTGACTACAAAGGAATTCAGGTAAAAGAGGAATAACTACTTAAAGGAATTATAGCCCTACCAGCTAGTGATGGAAGGTCTTCTCAGAACCCAGCAGAGGGAACCCTATAAGGTAAGTGAAAACTTCATGAGAAGGATGTTCATATGCAAAAGCAGCAGTTGCTACCCAGGCTACCTCACAAAGGCTGCCAAAGACCCAATCCTACTTCCTCTGGAACTCAGTTTAGGCAAACAGGGTGGAAATAAAAAGTGAACAAGGAGAATGGTATGGAGTTTGTAGACTATGGACTGAAATAGTGTTTTACATTTTTCCAGGTATCTTCCATGTATGTACATTGTCTCGCCTGATCTTTAGAAACATCTGGCTGTTAGGTGTGTCGAGAGTGATCATTCACATTTTATAGATTAAACAACGGAGGCTGAGCAGGTTTAAATTACTGACAAAGGCCAGAGAGCTGCTAGTAATTGGCAGCACTGAGAAAGGACCCCAAACCTGAAGATCACTGTCCTGGCTTCTACATCATTATTTCACCAACAACCAACAAAGGGTTGGTGAAATACAGCAGACCAAAATGAATAATATTTCTTCAGAGAGATTAGTTATTTCTAGATTAAAATACCAGATTTCAATATTTAGATGGTTTTCTAAAGATGCTTTAAAGTCTTTCAACTCCTCAAAAGTATTGATGAAAATACTCTCTTAAAGACTAAAATTTTAGCTGGACTAGAGTATTTTGTCATACTGGTCTCATGTAGTTTCAATTGTAAGTCAAAAGTGGGGGGACTGTGGCACAAGTATCAGAAATTACAGTGATGTGCTACAGCTAGTGTGAGTGGGCTGTGACACATTTTATTTATTCACCTGCCAACAAGCAACCAAATCGCTAATATTTGAAAGTGAAAGTATAACTGCTGTTATAAGTGGTGATATAGATATATAGCCAACAATTTAATCAGTATGTATGAGCTAAAAAGCCAATAGGAAGACTCGGGACTGCTGTGGGATTCCCTGAAATGTGGATTTCTTTCAAAGAAAAGAAGGAGACCTTTTTCCAACAATAGATACTCTTGGCCTGAGCATGAATCCCAAGAGCCTAAGGCAATTCTTAAGTGTTGAACAATCCTCAGGTTACTTTCTGATGAAGTTTGGAAATGAAAAAACCTGGGAAAAAAGCTGGCTGGTTTCACTTTTTGCCCCGCCTTCCAAATTACCCTGGAACACTTGTTCTTTGGACCCAAACATGACACTCCACCATGTGTGTTGCAGATGTCTGACATCATGTAGGGACAACACAGAGATTTCCCTAAAAACAAGAACCATGTGAATTAGGGCCTTCTAGAAATCTGAATTGCTTGGTATAAAGGAGAAAATTGGGAGTAGGTATGAGTATCTATTCAAATATAGCTTTGGAATTTACTTCTTACTTATTTAATCCTATACAGCACCATTTCTGATCATTTAGATTCCAGACAAATGGCAGAATATGTGACATTATGCCTCTGAGGCTCTTACTCCTGACTGAGGCCCATCCCCATCCTGCCATCCATTATTCATGAGGCAATTTTGGTGGCTGCTTCTTAGCATCTTTTTTATCATTATAAGTATAGTTTTTGCATTATTTAAATTTCAGCTGCTCATGAGAAGAGCAAAATACCTAGTTTGGATTATTGCATTTCAGAATCATTACTTGCAAGCTTACGTGTGCATAGAAAATATGGTGGGCAATGAGGAGATGGCTGAAGAGAAGAGGGGTCTTGCTCTAGACTTGGGAACCTAGACCTCTACAACTAATGAAATAAGAGGTGTGGACAACGTGCTGCAGAGTGCAGAGAGGGTATTATAGAGTCTGTGAGTGTCTGGGGGGGGCTTCATGGAGAGGGAAGTTTGGGGATTTATAAAGGGGCTGGAACGGGGAGAAGCAAGGGAGAAAGTCATTTAGGCTTAGGGAAAAGCTTGAGGTGAAATGCAGGAAGGAGTAGGTCAGTCTGAAAACTTCAAGTACTCTAGTGCAGAGGAACAGATCATGACAGCTTGAGTATTGTAGGAAATAAAAGAGGAACATTGGATTGGAGCCAAATGTTGACACTTGTTGGCACCAAGGTCAAAGGGACACAGTAGCATATTTGGATCTGATATATGTAAAAAGAGGACTCCAGCTGTGGTAGAAATAGTTTCTAAAATATTTTTCAAGTAATTCCTAAAAAAAAAAAAAAAAAAAAAGTAAACCTTAGTTGTTAAGGGCAGATGATAATTTTATCTAAGTTTGCAAAATAAACTGTCTGCATGGATTTTCCAAAAATACGATATAGATATTGGAAGGAAAAAAATATGTGATGATGGGAAATTGCTACCAAAATAGTGTATGAAACCAAGATGAAAATTCTTCTTGCAAACTTGTAAAGAAACATTAGCATGTTCCCATCAGTCAGTAAAAATAGATTGAAAAAGTTCTTCAAATATATGACAAATTTAAAGAATTAGAGGAATTTAGAATTTTTATTGGGATTATAAAAAGAATGGCTTGCTAAGCATGCAGACAGTATTTATCCTGATTTTTAATTTGGCAAAACTCTTTCTCTCTCACAGATCACAACCAGGTCTGAAGTGCTTTAATTTTTGTAGTTTTATGAAGAATATAACAAACAGAACAAAATCTCTGATTTTTTTTAAGGGAAAGAAAATGATACTTATACAAGGTCTTTCAATCTCTGTTCAGATGTAATAACAACATTCCTCATCACCCACCCTTATATTACTAAATCCAGTGTATCACTGTATTAGGGTGGAAGCCTTTGCAAATAACAGAATATGAATGTTAATGCAAATATAAATAAAATATTGGGAACCACATGGGGAATTATACCACTGACAATGACCAGAGTATCAGGGTAGTAAGTGATTAAGAGAGAAGGAAACTAGAGTGTGTAAATCACTGTCCACTCCTATGGGAATAACAGGGCTTCAGGAATTATTGTCAGAAAATTAAATGAGTTATCACATTTTAAACAATTAAAACAGTTCCTGTCTTACAGAAAGCTCTCTACAAATGTAACTATCCAATCACCTGAAAACTGGTTTATTTTGGATGAGCCCTTTTCTACTGTTAAACCCAAGATCCTACCTATTCAATTGCAATCAGGTTT